AGAAAGAGAAATGGCCATTCAAGCGCAATTGTAACCTAGGAATATCGTTGGCGTTGGGTTGTCAATATGGGACTCTTCCGAAGGTTTTGCTGTTGCGGCCAACAACAATGGATGTGGATACGACAATGGCTTTTCTAGGATGAAATAGAGAGAGCGGCACCAATTGCAATTGGAGTTGTTCTTGCAACAACAACTGCGGAATCATAACCAGGCAACACGTAGTGAGGTCGCCTTGACCTGAGCAAGGGTCAACCTCGCCATATTTTGGTGAGGGGGGCCTCGCCTGTCGCAAATTTCTCAGAGGCAAACCACTCAAGGGAAAGCTAATGGATTACTAAACTTATGTTTAGCTCGAACTTTCCCAAGTCTATACAACTGCAACTTGAATAAACCCTCTCTTAGACTTGGTGTGTGTGCTTGTGGATGATTAGCGGCGGCATACTCCAGTGATCCTCGCCTGTGGCTTGGCAATGTCGTCACCACCGCCACCCCCGCGGCCCCCATTGCCCAATTCCGCTTGCCCCTCTCTCCATTTGACTCTATTTTTTTTAACTTTTTTAAGTTTGGCCTTCTATATTAATTCTTTTAGTCTTCAACCAAAAAAAAACATTAATTCTTTTAGTCCACGTCAGCCACAATATCACCAATGTGGCGCTGATGTACGCGTCATGTAAGCACTTAACGGTCTGACGGCCACATTGGCATTTTCCATCTGAGTACTTTGAGCCACTCATCTTCTCTGAAAAGATATTTGACATAAATTACCCCGAAAGAGAAGGTCCTGGGATAAGAATAGCATCAAAATGGTTGTAAATAATGTCCATCTGATCTGAACTCTTTTAGTAGTTACACTATTGCCAAGAATAGCAAATTTAGTAATGCTATCATCTAGTCAAGCGAACTCTCCTTTGGAATGTAAACTAAGTCGTGGCCGTCTCCATGCATCCTTCCATTTCACCGGCGCAGTCAGAATTTGAAACCGACGCCGGAGCAACAGAATCATGCTGCCAGACACGGAATCGAAGCAAGAGAAATTAACAAAGGATGAATCAAAGCGTGGTCAGAACTCAGACCGGAACAGAAACATCATCGAAGCCCCCAAAGAGAAACGACGGAGAGCCGCACTTTTTCCTCGCGTTTCTTCTCCTCACTCCCACCATCCCTATAAATACCCCCTTTGAACCCGAACACCCTCCACCACCAAGAAAAACCTCAGAAGTCAAGCCGATCTCTCTCTCTCTCTCTCTCTCTCTCTCTCTCTCTCTCTCTACAATGGACGCTCACTGGCGACCATCCAAGCCAGTCGTGGCTGCGGACTCCCGCGATGCCAAATCCAAACACTCGCCTTCGCCACTCAAGTATTATGTCGACGAAGACCCGTCGCTCAAAGTCCCGCCTTCCCTCTACTTTGTTAACGATCTGTCATCTTCCTCTTCTTCACCGTCCTCTACTACCTCCTCTCCTGCTTGCGCGAGAAGATCCGCTCCTCCTCCCCACGCCGTGGCCGAAGGTTGTGCCGAGCCTTGCTGACCAGCTTGCTCGTTGCGCCCTCGCCCGCACTGAGCCACCGCTGCCCTGACCGGGCCATTTTGGCCCCTTGACAGTTTTCCCAAGGCCAAACCTAGGTAAGTGACTCCCTAAACCCTACTTAGTACTTTGGGTATTATACGGACTTGTTTAGGGTTTGTTTAGTGCTGTTGGATAAGTTAAGGGCCGGTTTGAGGACTATTTGTGACTAGGTTTTAGATTAAATTGTGATGATGTTTGAGGTAATTTGGTGGCTGTTCGTGGTTGATTTATTGTGAAGTTTGTGAGTGAATCTCGATACTCTAGGGTGGCCAAATTCGTGTTGGGTTGTGGGCCGGTTATGTCCGGCTTGAATGCCGGAATCGTGGGCTATTATGGTGAGTTCATGACTTGGAATTGGGCACTTGAATTGTGTTAGAATAATAGTTGTGCAATGTGGCGAACTTGTGATGCCTTAAGGAACGAATTTGATACTCGCATGGATTGATTGGAATGAGTGGCGATTGAGTATATTATGGCGTGGTTTGATTATGTGAATGACGTGGGAATTGATTGAATTAAGTGTCGTGTGTGTTTGCTTGACCAAGCCCGGATCGATCGGAGGGCTGCCAACCTGTACGGTGTTGACCTGGGCTGTGAGAAAGGACCTGTGGGGTGTTGACCCCCCGGGTCGTGAGAAAGGTTCTGAGGTGTGTTGACGCGGGACAAAGCCCGGATTGATCGGAGGGCTGACCTGAGGTGTGTTTACGCGGGTCGTGAGAAAGGTCCTGAGGCGTGTTGACGCGGGACAAAACCCGGATTGATAGGAAGGCTGACCTGAGGCGTGTTTACGCGGGTCGTGAGAAAGGTCCTAAGGTGTGTTGACGCGGGACAAAGCCCGGATTGATCGGAGGGCTGCCAGCTTGGAGTGTGTTGACGCGGGTGGCGAGAAAGGACCTATAGGGTGTTGACCCGGGTCGTGAGAAAGTTGGATGGATGCGTATGTGTAATGTACTTGATTGAATTGGGTGAATGTACGTGTGTATATCGCTCGGGTGATAGTGATATGTACATTGAGTGTTATTATATTAATAATAATTTGACTAATGTGCAGAGTTGGCGTGTGATTTGAGGCGAGGTAAGTGTGTTTATGTGAATTCGAATATGTCAATTGTTAGATTGCATGCTGAGGCTCGTCTGGGTACGCATTGGCCTATGTGGGGTTTAGGTTGTCTACTTATTGAGATTTATCTCATCCCTGTTATTAAACATTTTCAGGTTTGGAGTGACGGATAGTCGCCACGTGCGGTTCAGAGACCAGGAGTGACCTTGGGCATTTGATGCTTCATTTCATCTTTGGATGCCCCCCTTTTGTATAGTGGAGTAGGCTACCCAACCACTGCTCCCTTTTGATGTTGTGTATTTGTGAATGCTGTAGGTAATTGTCAAGCTTATGATATACGTTTATTGATTCGTGAAAGTGCTATCCCTTTGTCATTGTTTACTATCTGGGTTGATTATATTTCGCTTCCGCTTGCGTACGTCTTTGCGTGTTTCGTATGGGTCGGCGATGGGTCCTGGGACGTCGCGTTCAATATGACCGTCGGAGGGGTGTTGCGAGCCCGTTAGGGTTCGGGGCGTGACATGAAGCGGTTCGAGGCTGGCCACTCCCAACAACGCCCAAGCAGGTTCGCGGCTTCTTGGGGTTGACCGGCTATTATCGTCGTTTCATCCGCCACTACGCGACGTTAGCCACCCCCCTCAGGGACCTCCTCACCAAGGACGGATTCGCATGGTGCACACAAGCCGAGCACGCCTTCAACTCCCTCAAGGAAGCTTTGAGTCATGCCCCGGTATTGGCACTACCTGATTTTTCCATTCCCTTTGTTGTGGAGATCGATGCCAGCGGCGTAGGAATTGGCGCAGTATTGATGCAGTCTAAACACCCACTGGCCTTCTACAGTTGCAAACTTTCTCCCATCATGCGCAGCAAGTCAACTTATGTGCGTGAGTTGTTCGTAATACAGTCCGCCATTCAGAAGTGGCGTCAATATCTGCTTGGCGCTCACTTCATTATCGGGACCAATCATAGGCCACAACACCATCTTCTTAAGCAAACCATCCAGACACCAGAACAACAGCAGTTCCTCTCGAAATTGGTCGGCTTTGACTACTCTATCGAGTATAAGTCGGGCAAGAAAAACACAGCGGCAGATGCCCTATCAAGGGTTTATGATGACAATAACTAGGAGAGCGCACTTTTGACATTATCCCGTCCCGTGAATACTAACCTTGACACCCTTCGTGCCGAGTTGTTGCTAAACCAGCGTACAAAGAGGATCATTGACGACCTCCAGCGTGCACCTGACTCCCAGCCCGGGTGGTCTTACTCATCAGGTTTGCTCCGTCACCGTGGCCGCTTGTTCTTGCCGGTGGACTCCTCCCTTGTGCCTTTCCTTCTGTCAGATTATCACTCCAACTTACATGGTGGTCACTCTGGGGTACAACGAACCTTACAACGCATCTCTGCGCATTTTCAGTGGGACGGCATGCCCAAGGACATAGCCAAGTTCGTCCAAGCATGTGATGTTTGCCAAAAGTGCAAACCCACCAACCATCACCCCTACGGATTACTTCAACCCATTGCTCCACCCGACTCATTATGGACCGATCTCTCTATGGATTTCATCACACATTTACCACCATCTGTTGGGTATACGGCTATATTAGTGGTCGTTGATCGTTTTTCCAAGGGGGCCCACCTCGTTTCTTTGCCACCACGTTACACTGCCACCAAGGTGGCCCAAGTTTTCTGGACTATAGTGGGAAAGCTACACGGCATACCTTACTCCATTATTTTCGATCGTGACCCCATTTTTCAGAGTGCCTTTTGGAAGGAGTTGTTTAAACTCCAGGGAACAAAGCTGCACTTCTCATTCGCTTACCACCCGCAATCGGACGGACAAACAGAGTGTGTCAATCGCTGCATTGAACAGTTCCTTCGTTCATTTGCTCATGATCAACCCTCCAAGTGGTCCAAGATACTTAGCTGGGCAGAGTACCACTACAACACCACGTTCTAGGCTTCTACAGGTATGACGCCCTTCGAGGTGACATTCGGCAGAAAACCTCCCTCCCTCTTGGCCTATTGTACAGGCACCAGTGCTGTCAAAGCAGTTGATCATGACTTGCGCTCACGCGATATAATCTTGTCTTAGTTACGTGTCAATTTATCCAAAGCTCAGGCGGTCATGAAAACCCAGGTAGATAAGCACCACACTGATATTTCTTTCAAACCAGGCGACATGGTGCTTCTTCATCTTCATCCTTATCGCCAGCTGTCAGCTCGCAAAGACTCAGCCCACAAACTTGGACTTCACTACTATGGTCCGTTCCTTGTGGAGGAATGCGTGGGACAAGTGGCTTATCGACTTTCCTTGCCAGCTTCCAGTCGCATACACCCAGTTTTTCATTGTTCACTACTCAAACCGTATATGGCTTCACACTCCACTAGAGTGCACCCACTCCCAGAGGCAGTTGTTGATCACCAACCCATTCACAAGCCACTAGCAATTTTGGGTCAACGAGTTATTATAAAGGATTCTAAGCCGGTCTCACAAGTGTTAGTTCAGTGGCAGGACCTCGTGCCCGACGACTCCAGTTGGGAGGATGAGCACCTCTTGGATAATATTCGACTTGAGGACAAGTCGTCTCTCTATGGGGGAAGGAATGTTACGTCCCAAGGATTGCAAGTATATTCACGGCGCAAGAACATGCCTAAACAAGGCTAAGGAGAATCGCATTCCATTTATGACGAGGATAGTAATCAGCATTAATAACGATAGCCATCAATTAGTTTCTATCTATAAGGATAGCCATTAATTAGTTTCCATTTATAATTGATATCCATATGTGTACTCGGCTATTTAAAGGGCCATTAGATTACACTAAAGAGTAAGCAATTACAATTCTGATCCTACCTCTCTTCCTTCTTTCCCCTCCTCTCTCCTCAATTCCTACTAAATCAACTATTCTCTTAACAACCTCCATGTCTCCGTAACGATGCCATCGATTGAGGTAAATACGCTTTTCCTAGATTCCAACAGGACAAAATGGTTAATTCAAGAATTCACAAGCTAGGAACTCTTACTTGATGGATGTAGAATTTGTGTCTGACATGAAAAAAATTGCCATCTTTTGTTTCAGGTGGGAACTGTTGGAGGTGGGACTCAGCTTGCCTCACAATCCGCATGCTTGAATCTGCTCGGAGTGAAGGGGGCCAACCGAGAAGCGCCGGGGTCGAACTCGAGGCTCTTGGCCACCGTTGTGGCCGGCTCAGTCCTTGCGGGAGAGCTCTCTCTGATGTCGGCTCTGGCAGCTGGCCAGCTCGTCAAGAGCCACATGAAGTACAACAGGTCCAACAAGGATGTCTCCAAGGTCTCTTCCTGAACCATTATTGAACTTGCCCCTCCTTGCTTCAAAAGCCTTCGCTGACAGTGTCGAAGAAGACGAGGAATAAACAAAAAGGAAAGAAATTGGCCACAGTTAGCCATTGGAGGTGAAAGAGTTTGGGGAAAAAGGTTTCTCTGTGGTTCAGTGAAAGATAGATCGTCAGAGGACGAGGGGAGACACGACTGCCTGTATTTGTGTCATTTCACACATTCAGTTCATTAATTTCAATCCTTTGGGAATTCGATCTATGTTGATTGTTGAGGGCTCGATTTATTCTGTATACTTGCTGAGAAAAAGGAATACTAAAAGTTTCATAATTTTGGCACAACGCTTACTTCACTATTAGAACTTTAATAATGAGAATCGATTATTTCAATACTATGCAATTTCCAATACCGGAAAATTCAACGCGACATTAATTTATTCAGCTGATATGGCTCGCCTGAGATATCTAATCAGCAAAAAACGATGTCGTTGGCCTTTGTTTTTTTTCTCTAAATTGACAAATCATTCCCAAATTAGGGCCAAGAAGCAAACCCTAATCACGAGCTGCCGCCACCGTCAACTCTCGTCCTCAAGGTTGACGACCGCTGCAGATGATGTGGCTGGCCGTGGGCAAAACCATGTCTAAGGTTGCTCAAGGTTGGCAAAGCCGGATTTGGGCTCGACGATGTCGGATCCAACATCCCGATCCCTAATCCAACGCACAACGCACAAGAACATAGTGCAAAGCTCGATGGCTAGGGGATCGATGCTGGAGGTTGCGCCTAGCTGCTCGGTGCCGAGTTTGCGAGTGGCGACGAGGCTGGTGAGTTACTGTGGTGGTTCTTATTTTTCATTGGACACAAGGACGGCAGTAAAAGAAACAGATAGGTGACTGAAAGTACACTTGGCCACAGTTCCCCTTTGGCTTTTCTTTTATGGTGGTGATCCAAAGGCGCAGGTTTGGGGGTGGGGGTTAATTCTGTTTAGGGTTAATACCATGAAAAATTTCAAACTGATACATTCGTAACAAATTTACCTCAAACTATTTTTTTTACCATAAAAACCTTTAAACTGATACACCTGTGACAATTTTATCTATAACTATTTTTTATCATCAAAAACCCCACACTAATACACTTGTGATAATTTTACCCCGAACTAATTTTTTGACCACCAAAAAACCTAAATTGGTATACCTATAACAAATTTACCCTCCATTAGTTTCCGTTAAATTTTACTGTCAAATTACTAAATTTGATGATACATGATATTTGATGGGTATATCAATTTGGGGTTTTACCCCTCTGTTTGTCACAAGTTTATCAATTTGTGATTTTTCGTGATATTAATCCAATTTAACGGACACTAACGAAGGGTAAATTTGTTACAAATGTACTAGTTTGAGATTTTTAGTAGTCAAAAAATTAGTTGGGGTAAAATTGTCGTAGGTGTACCGATTTGGAATTTTTTATGGTCAAAAAATTAGTTCGGGGTAAAATTGTTGCAAGTGTACCAGTGTGTGGTCAAAAAAATAGTTCGAAATAAATTTGTCACGGGTGTACCGGTTTAGAGTTTTTATGGTCAAAAAATTAGTTCAGGGTAAAATTATCACAGGTGTACCAGTTTGGGGTTTTTCGTGGTATTAACTCTTCTGTTTATTCTATGACTTTTTCTTTTTAGCTTCGATCTCTCTGTTCGTTTTTTGTGATTTCTCACTGTTTGCTCCATTTTTAGCTCTTAAACCTGTAAATTTTGCGGTGTGAAACTGTAAAGATAGATGAATGGGCAAAAGAAAAATTATGAGCTACAATATGCTTCAGTGGGAGTGTAGTCTTTTTCCCATTGCTATGAAGTTCAATACGATTGTTTCTCGATATTGTACATTGAATTTCTTAAGATGCTTTAAGCTAAAGCACATTATGCCATCATTTATTTCTTTAGTGTAGTGAATTTGGCGCCAGCCACTGCAGACTTTTTGGCATTGGGTTGATGACCAATCACTTGTTTCTTTTGCACACATATTTGGTCAACATTAGGCAACTCGTTCTACTTATGTAGTGAGCATGTGTGAATACAACGCATAAGCTAATATTATTATGTACCTTTCTCAAAACGAGCAAACGTGGAGCTTTCACAATGAATCACCCCCATTAATAATGGAGAAGAAGAGCAGAGTCTGGGCATTGACGTGCACGTCTAAACACCTAATGCGGATGTTGACTAATCTCAAGATTTCGTTAGATTATAAATCGAATTGCTTATTTATTTTTGTTGATATATTCGTAATATGTTCCATAGGGACGCACCGTCATTATTGTCGATCAATTAATTGATCCATCAATTGTATTTGGGGAGAGGGAGAGTGAATGTAGAGTTTGATTAACATTTGCCGTCCCATTCGAATGGAGATGAAATTTGGTTGGATCTGAACAGTCATTCAAGAAACAACCTGAAAATTGAAGAGGGTATTAAGTACCAAGAACCAAGCCCCTGGAACAAGTGGAACATATATAGTTAAGATGCTGCTGTAAGGTTTAGTTGGTTGACGGTAATGTAGAGTCTGATTAACATTCACTGTGTATGTTTTCTACATGTGATTGTCCGGATTTATGATTTCACAGTAATGCATGCACGGATGCATGCAATGGACTGCTTTTCATTTTCTTAGCTGGTTTAGAAATGGTTTGATCATCTAAACTAGGGGCGGAACTTCATGGGACATTACAAAACTAGGGTTTGCAATTTTATATAGGGTTAATACCACGAAAAACCCTAAACTGGTACACTTGTGACAAATTTACCTCAAACTATTTTTTTGACAAAAAAAAAATCTCAAATTGGTACACCTGTGACAATTTTACCCCGAACTATTTTTTTAACCACCAAAAACCCCAAACTGGTACACTTGCGACAATTTTACCCCGACCTAATTTTTTAATATTATTTTTTTTATTTTTTCGAATTTTTTTTATTTTTTTTTCTTTTATTTTCTTTTTCCTTTCCTTTTCTTTTTTTTTTTTCCCTTCATCTTCTTTATCTTCAACCTATGGCCGGTCGTCGGTCCGGCGATCGGCCAAAGACGGGGGCCGACGAGGTCGGCCCCGCCGGCCACTAGCGAGGCTGACCTCGCCGTTGCTGGGCAAGGCCGACCTCGCCGGAAAATGGCAAGGTCAGCCCTGCCCACCCCTGGCGAGGTTCGACTTCGCCGTCGATGGCGATGGCAAATCGCGGTCGCCGTCGATGGCGAGGCTCGGTCCCACCGGCCGTTGGCGAGGCCGACCTCGCCGTCGCTCAAAAACCAAATCAATGGCTAGCGCAACAGATCAGAACGCCACAAAAGGCAGGGATTTGGCGTACAATCTTTCATCGGCAGGGCTTCCCGTAGGAGCTGCAGATGAGATTGAGGACGGCCTCGGTGGACTCGGAGAAGTTAGAGTGAGAGGTGAGCTCGGCGTTCCCTTGAGCTTCCTCCATAGACTTCAAGAGGGCGCCACAGTCGACGCACTTGAGAGAGACGCCGACCATGGCTCCGGTCCTCCGATCGGGGAAGGGAAAATCGAGAGAGAAACGCTTCGCGCTTGGAGCGATGCGGCTTCGCGATCGCTGGACGAAACGGTTGGGATTTCGCCATTGCTGGCGAGGCTCAGCCTCGCCAACGACGGCGAGGACGACCCCTCGCCGGCAACCGGCGAGGTTGAACCTCGCCAAAGGTGGGCAAGGCCGACCTCGCCAACCCCCGCCTCTAGCCGATCGCCGGACCGGCGACCGGCCATAGGTTGAAGAGAAAGAAGATGAAAGAAAAAAGAAAAAAGAAAAGAAAAGGAAAGGAAAAAGAAAAGAAAAGAAAAGAAAAAATAAAAAATAAAAAAAATTCGAAAAAATAAAAAAATTAAAATAAAAAAATTAGGTTGGGGTAAAATTATCGCAAGTGTACCAGTTTGGGGTTTTTGGTGGTCAAAAAAATAATTCTAGGTAAAATTGTCATAGGTGTACTAGTTTGGGGTTTTTTATGGTCAAAAAAATAGTTTTGGGTAAATTTGTCACAAGTGTACCAGTTTAGGGTTTTTCATGGTATTAACCCTTTTATATATCCTCTAATCTTATCTAACGTCATGTTTAGATGGGACGTTCGTCCTTTTGATAATGCACATCCATCATGAAGCCTTTTCTTTTATTAGCTTATAATTTGAATAATATAAATAGAGTTTTGACAAGCGAGGAAGTAGATCTGTTAAATGGGTGAATCGGGTCGGATTTGGGTCGGGTCATAAATGGTCCGACCCAAATTGATCCATTAACTCGTTTATAATTAATTTATTTGTAATATAAATATCTCGACCCATACCCGACCCGACCCGTATCCAACTCATACCCAACCTAACCCATATTACTAAAACACTTCTATATTTAATCCAATTTAGGAAAACTTATTTTTATAACTTTTTTTAAAAATTATACTGCTAAAACATTTTCATACAAAGCTAGTGAACCATTTTTATAATTTTTTTTAAATTGAGTTTTTTTTTATTCTCAAAAAATGCAAATTTTTAGAAAATATTTTCCATGAAGTCATTATCTAAGAAAATAAAAAAATTTCTTGTGTTTGGCTGAAACCTGAAAATGAACTAGAAAAAATTTTCTGACGTTTGGTATATAAAATCTAATTTGATTTTACTTCGTGCATTCATTTTAATAACTTTAATTTTTTATTTTTAATTATTTTTATTTTTCCTTTATTTTTAGCCGAAGGCTGGCCAAGGCAGCCGGCCACAGGCAAGGACAAGCTCGCCAACCTCAGGCGAGCATTGAGCTCACCCGATTCCGGAGAGGTCGAGCTCGCCCGAGGCCGACGAGCTTGAGTCTCGTTAGATCGGCGAGGTTGGAGTCTCGCCACAGGTTGGCGAGGCCTCGAGCTCACTAGAATCGGACGAGCTCTACCTCACCTGATCTAGCGAGGTAGAACCTTGCCTAACACTAGCAAGGCTCGGCTCGCCAGAATTGGGCGAGCTCAAGGCTTGCAAGAGGCTGGCGAGGTCGTCCTCCCCTGTGGCCGGTCACTGGCTATCACCCTGGCCGGCCACCACCGGCCGAAAATAAAGAAAAATGAAAAAAGAAAGAAAAGAAAAGAAA